GGCCCAGACGCGGACAAGGTCAGTGAGCTGGACCCGGGGTTCAGTTCTCAAGCAATGGATTTTGTCTTGGAACGACAAGCTGCCATTCGGTTTGTACAAGATGCAATTGCAGCTTCTGCAGATAGGCAGAAGCTGAACGCAGACAATGTGGACAGGGGCAACACAAATGAATTAGAAGTTGGTTCATTGGTTTTATTAACTACTCAAAACCTGCCTACACATGCAGTTTCCGGATTCGGAGCAAGCACGCAGCGGGGCGCGGTAGCTTAGCGTCAGAGGAAGACGTACGACTCAGAGAGTCAATAGCTAAGATAAGACATTTACAAGGATTAATAGGGCCTACACTAAAGACCACTACTAATAACAACCTTAATAAAAGGACTTACTACTTCAGTTACCAAAACTGAACTGTATTGATTTACTTATTTGTCCTAGACCTAAATGTAACGGATTTAATATCTAGCATACTAAATCCTAATCAAAATACAACATGTTGCTCTGAGGCCATCTACGTATCTACTCGTGTGTGCCACACTATTATGTACCCTCATAAATCTATTCATGTGTGTCAACCACCAACGGGAAACATTCGTGTAACATCGCCGTTACACTCTCCGCCATCAAGATTACGGATAATGTGTAAACATACGACGCGATTATCGGCCGATGGCCACGCTGACTCGCCTTGCGCTGACGGCGTTCCTCCTCAAGCGTGCTACACGCCTCCATTCGTGATGCCACTTGGCACACGCTTGGCCCAACTGCTTAACAAGCACGATTACGGATAATGTGTAAACATACGACGCGATTATCGGCCGATGGCCGCGGTGACTCGCCTTGCGCTGACGGCGTTCCTCCTCAAGCGTGCTACACGCTTGGCCCAACTGCTTAACAAGCATATGAGCCTACTTGCTCGGGCTCAATAAGCGTTGAAAGGAGGCCACAGGTGGCGTACCGACGATACAACTGGATCAGTGATCCACAGGGCTAACATCCCAGGCACCCAACGGTTCCACGAACCACACAGCAGTGGGGTTCACTAGCTTCTTAGCTAATGCAACCCTCGGTCGAGCACTGTGTATAGGGCTTGACGACCAGCATTTCTGCCAAGCAGGCGCAAGCGCCACTATGTGTCACAGACACTGTGTACGCGCTCAACACAATGTATTTATGGTACCCACTCAAGGTGTACCCTCGTGTAACCCCGTCTACCCTCCCCACCCGTGTACACGACACTTTCCCTTGTGAGGTCTGTCTTAACAACACGTTAGAGGTCACTTTACCTCAAGCAAGTCCAAAGTCTTCGGCTCCCTGCGCCCATTATCGAATTGGCATCCATGATGCCAGACTCAACAGTCCCGCGGTTCTTGGACCCTACACCGTCGTCACCTCGCGACAGTGCTACGGCACAACAACACGCTCCGGTCCAAGGTCCTCGCTCTGACACAGATCCTTGTCGACAGCTACTCAACGTCGGTGAATACCACCGTCACGCCCCGGGCTCAACGAGCCACGGCATACGTGGTAGCAACGCTCCGGTCCCGACTGAGTCACTAGGGCCACTCCCTGCGCCACGTACTTGGCGAGAGGAGCTGTAGACCAGCGAAGCCGACTTCGACGACGCTGAGGACCCCCCCAGCTCGGCCTGAGGCCGCAACGAGTATTGCCTCGCTGGACCGCCAGCTGAGTACTCCGAATCCGTTCCCTGAACGCTCCCAGCCGCTGCGCGACGCGCCTCCTCTTCCCTCCCGATGCGAGGACGAGCTCTCGGAGCCGATCGTCATTACGAATGCCCTCGACGAAGCCCTGGGGCACCAGCTCGCAACAGGTGCTCCTTCGGGGTCCCATCGACCCGTGGCTCGGCCACTACTTGCAACGTCGCGACGCAACTATCACTTCCTGTATTTAGCTCTGGCAGAAGTCGCCTAATGTGCTGCTCTGCAGCCTTTGGGCACGTACACGTATAGCTCACAGTGCTCATCGAGTAGAGCCGGAGGAGGGCGAACGGTCGCTGGACCCTCATGCGGCGAGTGTGGACGCGCTGCCCTCGTTGCAGACCCGCGTCAGCTCGGTGAAAGAGCACGTTTACAACGTTGGTCGTGGGACCCATCGCCTAGCGATTGATCTTGAGGAGATCGAACGTCGCGTGCACTGATTCGAGTTACCTCAGGCGCTGCAGTAATGGGTCTCTTACCTTGAGCGTCAGGTTGCTCATCTGCATGGTCAACTTGATCTGTTGGTTCGGATGCAACCTCCTGTGGCTCTGCCACCTGCATACGTATAGCCTCCTGTGTCTCCGTACCCTGCTGCCGTGCAGCTCCCTGTGCTCCCGCACCCTGGGGTGCAGGTACCTGCTGTTTCGCAGCATCCATCAGACTCGGCGCTAGCGCCTCAGAGCTCACAAGAGCAAGGTCCCGGTATGGCTTGAGCAAGCCCACGTAAAATATTATATGCATACACATCTTCTTCGGAAGCTTGAGCGTATACCCAAGGCCCTTCTTGGCCACGACCTTGAAAGGTCCGATGAATCTCGGCCTGAGTTTGGTTTTAAAGACCGCGGACACTGAATGTGTAGGTAGGTTTTTAGCGTTTAATAAAACCAGATCTCCGTATCAAATCTTTCCATGTTGTTTCTGATTTTGGCATCCGCATTCTCCTTCTGGGTATCCTGGCTTTCAGCCATCGCGTCGCATACTTGACGCATGACGCTGACTCTCAAAGAGCCAAAGTCATCGACTTGCTTGCGAACCGCACCGGGGCTGACATCAGCAAGCCGATCGGCTAACCCTCCCCACCAAGCCAAGAGCCACACCGTGGCGGCGTCAGGGGGACGCGATGATCGACCAAGCCGTTCACAAAGCACGGAGTGAAGCATGTCGAGGCATGCACCGCGTTGCTCATTGCGAACTCAACGAGTGGTAGCATCTCGCTTCAGCGTCGTGGTGCTTCAGCGCAGACACTACGGTGGCTATCATCCGCAACGCGATTAACGCGTTCACTGTGACCATCGATCTGCGGATGGCCCGCCGTGGACACGTCCAACTTGGTGCCTAGCACCTTAACAAGGACGTCCAAAACTTAACTGTCAAGGGCGGGTTCGATCGGAGATAATTGCCGCAGGCAAGTCATGTTGGCGAAAGACTCTGTCTAATAACAGTTTAGCTGTATCTTCACCGTCCACAGAGTCCGGCACAGCCGACAAATGAGTCATCTCGCTCAAACGGTCAACAAAGACCACAATACCAGTGTTGCCCGCCTTATCCTTCGGAAGGCCAAACACAAAGTCCATACTGATGGACTTCCAACATCCCGAAGAGACCGGCAAACTCGCCAACTGCGCAGACGCATGCGGCGTGAACTTAGTCGTTTGACATGTTTCACATGTACGCACATAAGTGCTAGCCCATTTGTACAACTTGGGCCACCAGTACATCTGGATCACCGAGCCGTAGGTCTTCTCACGACCAAGATGCCCACCGACAGGCGTATCATGCACCTCATACAGGATGCGATACACATTTGTACAACTTGGGCCACCAGTACATCTGGATCACCGAGCCGTAGATCTTCTCACGACCAAGATGCCCACCGACAAGCGTATCATGCACCTCATACAGGATGCGATACTTAAGATCCTCATAATGAGGAACAACCACACGAGGAGTATCCCCAGGGTCGGTGCTGTAATACAGCAGGCCATTATCTAGCATATAACGCTACAATCTCGCGCGTAAGCGTTTGGACAAGGCCTTGTCTGAATTCTTGAACTCCTCGCTCACAAGAGCACGTAGCAGAGCTACACACGCGTCATCCTGGGCATATGCCCTGCGTATAAGATCAGGGACCGACGACGTCACAGTGGTGACATGTGCCAATTCGTAGTCTGGCCTGCGCGACAGCGCATCGGCCACTACGTTAAGCCGTCCCGACTTATACTTCACCTCGAAGTTGTACTCGATAAAGAATAAAAGCCGTCTTGCCATTCTATGTGTGAGGTGAGGCGACTGAGTCGTAGTGCGTAATGACGCATAACCAGTAAAGATCACAAAGGGCTTAGAGCGGAGTAGATGTACTCTAAACTTGACTAGAGCATACTTCATCGCAAGTAGCTCTTGGTCATGAACTGGATAGTTCTTCTCAGCAGGTGAAAGCTGCTGAGACGCAAACGCAATAACGCGTTCACGCCCCTCGGTGTCTGCTTGTAGTAAAGCGCAACCGATAGCAAAATCGGAGGCGTCACAGACGACACTAAACGGACGATCCGGGTCCGGAAGCACCAAGATGGGCGCATGGAGGAGAGACTCCTTAATGACCTTGAAGGCTTCGTCATGGACGACATCCCAGCATCAAGGTGTATCCTTCTTAAGGAGATTGGACAACGGCCTCGTCATATCAGCATAGCTGGCGCTGTGCTTGTGTAAGTAATAGGCTAAGCCAAGCCACTTGCGTAAGTCCTCCTGGTTCACGGGAACCGGCCAGTCCACAATGGCCTTGACCTTTTCAGGATCCGCCCTAAGGCCGTGCTTCCCAATGAAGCACCCGATGAAAGGTATTTCCTCTGCGCCGAAGACGCATTTGTTCAAGTTGGCATACAACTTAGTAGTGCGCATGCACTCGAGCACCGCTCGCAAATGGTTAATGTGGTTCTCCACATCGGACCTCCCGTGCTCAGCACGACTATGGACGAAGATATCGTCGAAGTACGTATGAGTGTACGCCCGGTGGGACCGGAACAACTGCGTCGTAAGATGATTGAATGTTGCTGGCGCGTTCGATAGACCTTGGGACATGTCTAACCACTCCCAGAGCATACCACTCGGAGTACTCACTGCTGTGAGAGATATATCGCTAGCTCGCTCGCACGAGCAACTGATAATATCCATCGACCAAGTCGAATGCACTGTACAATGTACATCCCACGATGTTGTTCTGAAGAACATCCTTACGAGGAGTGCCGGAATAGTGGCGGCATTCAGCTTATTGAAAGCATACACGATGCGTCACTTGTCATTAGACTTTCGGACAAAGAACGTAAGTGTCGAGCGCGGAGCTTTACTCTCACGCACGAAGCTGACCTCGTGCTTAGCACGGAAGAGCGCGTCAATGACGTCACATTGCTCCCTTGGTAAAGGCCACTGCCGTGTAATGCAGTATTTGGTTCCGGGAACCAGGTAAATCTCATGACGCACGACTCGGTCCGGAGGCAGTCCGCCGGCAGGTTCTATGACACCACGTCGTGGTATTCCTTAATCAAAGGGTAGAAGGGATCCGATGAATCCTTAAGGATCGCTGATCCACTTCTTGCGCTAAGCGCCCGCTTCGTGTCCTCTATAGCTTCGTCCACGACGGACGACTAGTTCAAATCCTCCTCGGGTCGGATCATGACCACCTCGGCGAGGTCATTACCCTTTAAGGCTTCGCCAAACTCGGCGACGGACATCTCGTCCAGCTCTAGAATAGCTTCAACAGACGGGAGTCGCTCGAGACTGATGGCTTCATTAACATTCCCCTGTCATGCCGTTGACGAGTGTGTACAACTGCTCACTGCAGTCGTGTGAAGCCTCACCGCTCGACACGCTGGGCATCTCGTCCGTCGTCATAGACGCCATAGACGCTCGGTGTCTCCTCCTCCTCTCTCTCCTCGCCCGCGTACGACCGGACAAGGATGGCCTCGCGACATTACCACCGTCACTTGGCCCAGGTGCTAGCGCACCTTCACTCCTCAGAGAGGAAACAGTGTCATACAAGACACTCAACGGTGGGTCTTCGACCCTGCTAACACCGCTCGGCGGTTTACGTGCCGCTCCGCATTTGTCCATAGGACACAGCGGTGGGTCAACGACCCTAATAACACCGCTCAACAGAGGGGGTGCTACGCCTTGCGCACCCTCACAACCAACTGCAACTTCGTTGCTTACCAACTCGGACATTCCAATGTCTAGCGCCATGGCCGACTCGGTCATGTGCCCGCGCCAATAGCGCTTCTGCCTCTTAGTAGAGGTGAGTTCATGGCTCGCCAATGCTCCACTAGGAGACGAGCGCGTAGCGCCTAACGTTTTCGACTTCCAGTCGATCCATGGCTTGTGGCCCTCAAGCCATGCCATGCCAAGGATGTGGTCATACCTCCCATCCAGGTCTAAGGCCAAGCAGCGTTCAACGCTATCGAATGCTAAGAACTTCACATGAGTGGTCTGTACCTATACTGGATGTTCAAGGGTTAACCCATTGAACCTCCAGTATTCGTATAGACCACTCATAAGCTATAAGAAAAACTCTAATTCGAAAATGATTGGTTAAAAATATATATGCGAACATGCTAAAGAACAAATGTAACCTATAAAAAATTGTGTACTCTGTGAGACACAATATTTGATTGAATCGTGTCGTGGCAATTTCTCGTTACGGCTTCTTTGTATCCACCATGTTAGCAGAAACCTATGCAAATCTCACCACGACTATCACTAGCGCTGCCCAGGGGAGGGCGCATCTGCGCTTTGAGGCAGAGCCTATATATACACGCCTTCCATTCCCCTTATATAGCCGTGGAGAGCGTGAACAGCAACAACGGCACCTTTCACAGTGCCGCCCGACTGAGAAACGACTGTCTGGACTCACCCAGTAGCAACAACGTCTTGAGCCTCTGTTCGTTCGTGAACGCTAACGCATTGACTGGATAGAGGACCGTTACACCGACACCAAGGAGTAGAAGAGAGAGAAGCAGCAGTCTGAAGAGGCACGGCAGTGCAGACACAGGTGTACAAGTCGGAGCTGGTGGACGACCGCATCGAGACCAATTTGACGCGCACCAAGGAGCATGACGACACACTCTACATTGGGGAGTGCCGCACAGCTGAAGAATGAGTGTCTGGACTCGCCGAGATGCAACAACGTCTTGAGCGTCTACGCGAACGCGCACGCATTGACATCACTACCGACACGAAGGAGTAGAAGAGAGAGAAGCTGTAGCCGGTTGAGACACGGCAGTGCAGACACAGGTGTTCAAGTCGGAGCTGGCGGACAACCACGTCGAGACGTATTTGGAGCGCACCAA